ATCTTTAGCCATATGAGAAATGCAAATTAAAACAACTATGAGATACCACCTAACACCCTGAAAGATAGCCCAATTCAAAAAATTAGAAAGTAACATGGAGGGGCTGTGGTGAGATAGAAACTCTGGTCCACAGCTGGTGGACCTGTAGAAATATCCAGCCATTATGAAAATCCATTTGGCGATATCTAAAACAGATGGAAATCAAACTACCATACCACCCAACAATCCCCCTAGTGGACACATGCTCATAAGAGGCAAGAAACAAACCACCGCCAGACATCTGTGCTCCAATGTCATCGCGGTCCAGTCCACAATTGCAAGGAGTTGGAAACACCCCAAATTTCCATCAAGAGAAACTGTGGTAAGCTTAAAGAAAAACGGGGCATAGGGGAAAAGCTACTATGTATATACATCCCTGGAGTGAGGTCCTGCAACTATGCCAGGGCTCAGACCCAATCCAGGGATACATAAGGAAGCCAATTAACTAAGAGGGGTAAAGAAAGAGAAAACAGAAGATGACATGGAGGTGGGAGAATAGGGCACTAACCAACCCAAGGGTATTATGTTGTTTATATCTCCACAGGAGAGGGAGAGGGAGACCAGGCTTCAACCTGATGTGCCAAGAAGTGAACACAACATACCAGCATGTACCACGGAACCAATAGAGAGGTGTGCGGGATTCAATGTTTTCCATAGACCCATGAATCTCCAAGACGTAATGTGACCTGAGAGAAATTAAACAACTGCATGGACCGTTGTACTGTCAACCACAAATCTCCATGAGGCAGTGCAGTAGTTGAAGCACAGGAACCTATATTAGTCACGGTTTTCTTTACACCCATGAATCTCCAGAACAGAAAGAATGAAACTGCTAGAACAGAGACTGGCACGAACCTCCAAGAGTAGACGTTTTCATGAAACGCCTGAACTGCTACAACAAAGCAATTTTCATGAGACAAGAATTTTCATGGGTCAAAGTTGTTGGGAGAGGAAAGAAACTGCGTGAGGCATCCTTGTGCTGAGAAAGATCAAGTTTCAGGAGTACAGTTGCCATGAGGTGCAAGTAGTGCCATGACATCATTTCACAGAAACCGAGCGAAATTCACTGAAGTTCCGTTTTCTCTAGAATGATGACCATCCAGAAGTTAATGTTGTACTGAGACACGTGAACTTCCACCATACTTTCCCTAAGACATCCAAAGCTTCATTGGGCAACGTGGTTGAGAAACAGAGCAGCCTGCAGGATTCAATGTCTTCCTAGACCCATGAAGGTCCAAGGCATAATGCTGATCTGAGAGAAATTAAACGGCTGCATGTTCCCTTGTACTGCCAAACACACATCTCCACGAGACAGTAGTGAAGCACAGGAACTTGTAGATTCACCGCTTTCCTTAGACCCGTGAATGTCTCAGAAGTCATGTTAATCAGAGTGGACACTGTTGCCCTTACACGCAAGGAGCACCATGACGGACACCCAGCGAAAATCACTGAAGTTCACTTTTCTGCAGCACCACCGTTTTCCTTAGACTCCTCTTTGTCTCAGAGGAAATGTTGTTCTAAGAGGAGCACTATTGCCCTCTAGCGCCAGTAGTGCCACTACGCTTCATTTGAGGGAAACCCAGAGAAGCTCACTGAAATTCAGTTTTCTATAGAATCGTGAGCATCCAGGAGTTAACGTTGTTCTGAGACACGTGAGCTCTTGTGATAAAGACATTTCCTAAGACATAAAAATCATCAACGGGCAAAGACTTCTGAAACTGAAGGACTCAATATTTTCCATACACCCATGAATTTCCAAGGAGGACCATTGATCTGAGAGAAGTGACACAGTTAGATGTACCGTTTTACTGACAAATATAAACACACATGAGCCAATACAGTTGTGAAGCACAGCAACCCGTTTGATTCACTATTTTTCTTGCACCTGTGAATCTCCAGAATGTAATTTTGAACTGAGGAAAATTAAACTGTTTGAAGAAGCACCATTGAACAGGAGGCACGTGAACCTCCAAGAAGGAAGGCTTTTGTGAAACACTGGAACTTCCAGGACAAAGTTGACATGAGACTCAAGAATCCTCACAGGTCAATGTTGCTTGTTCTGAGAGAAAAGAAACTGCCCGCAGCACCCTTGTACTGAGAAACATCCTGCTGCTGGAGCTCTGTTGCCCTCAGGCACAAAGAGTACCATGGTTCCTCATTTTTCAGAAACCCACGGAAACTCTCTGACGTTTAGTTTTCTCCAGAATCACCATCTTTTCCTTAGGCCCAGAATCTCCAGAGGTACTCTTGATCTGAAAGGAGCGGGATACAGTAACCTAATGTAACTCACTGAAGCGCAATTTTCTCTAGAATCCTGAACATCCACGATGAAGCTCCCTTAGCCAAAGTAGTTGTAAGGCAAGGAACCTGCTGGATTCAATGTTTTTGATAGCACATGAATCTCCTTGGGGTAAACTGAGGGATGTACCGTTTACTGGGAAACAATTCTCCATGAGCCTATATAGTTGTGAAGCACAGGAACCAGTATGATTCACATGTCTTAGACCCTTGAATGTCCCAGAGGTAATGTTGATCTGAGAGGAACCATGTTTCCCTCAGCCGAAAGGAGTTCCATGACATATCATGTTTTGGACACTGCAAAATTCACTGAATTCCAGTTTTCTCCAGTATCACCACTTTCCATAGACCCATGAATCTCCAAGACGTAATGTTGATGTGTTGGAATCCTCAGGTGGAAGTTACCCCAGTCCTTGGCTTCTCAAGTGAAAGAATTAATGCTGAAACCTGGATCATCATCCAAGTGAGTTTTCATAAAGGATAAAAGTTTCAGGGTGTACACAGGCACCCTCAGGGCACTTCACACCCACAAGTGGAAACCTGAAGCCAGAGAAAACCGCAGCATGGCGAAGGGTCAGGTGGAAAAAGAGGGGGCTAGGGGCCTGATTCTGACTTTTTCAGGAACTCGCGCTGGGAGGCTTGGTCGACAGTTCTGGTTGAGGCCAATGGCTCACCTGGCTTAGGTTGGGGTCCTGTCTCAAAGGCCCGAATTTGTCCATGCACTCTAGCCTTTATGGATGGGCTCGCCTGATTCTCTGCAGCAACCTCCTGCAGGGGCACCTTGGCATAGAGTAGGATGACTCCCTAACTGACTACCTCACATTTCCCCACTGAAGGGGTATGGACCCATATCTTTGGGGTACTAGGCAACACATCTCGAGCTACTTCCTGCTGGTAAATGGGGCATGAAGTGGGGTTGTGGGGTGACACCCTTCCTACTCTGTTGGAAGGGGGTGTGCACTCCAGGCCCACGATGGATGAAGTTGGGGTGGTCCAGGTGCTGGTGGTCCTGGAACTGGCACACTTGGTTCAGAGACATTGGTAACCGGAGAACATCGGGAAAACAGAACAAAACAGGTGCACGGTTTAGGTGGGACAGGGGTAAGGCTTTGAGGTGGCATTGGCCTTGGAGGTGGGCGTTTTTGTCATGGGAAGTTCAGAAAAGAAGAAAGCATAGGGCTGACAGGAATGGGTGCTTGTTCTCCTTAAACACCGGAATGGAGTAAAAGCATTTACTGGCTTAAACACTGTGATGCGTCTGAGGGAGGGTTTTCTGAGAGATCCACGCTTTCACCTGTGAATGATACCCAGAGTCAAAGGAAGAAGGTAAGGACAGGATATGCAGCCCCAGTATCTAGGAGGAAATCCACCAAACTTGCTACCCCATTTATTGCTCGCCTGAGGTGCCAGACCTGATAACAGCTGTCTCCTGCTGCTTCAATGGCCGGGCTGAGCCAATCTTCAATGAGCAGCTAGCTGCTCACTGGCCTGTGGGTATGCTCCCTCTTGGCTATCTGCCATAGGACAAATGATACACTGGTGGCCAGGTTGCTTGCCGGGATGGCCTAGCCATCAGGCGTGCCTGTTCTGGCTATGGCAATTCCATGCCCAGTGGCCCCTTTTCCTGACACACACAGCACTTTGCACTTTGATCACCGCTCCGGGAAACATGGGAGGCGGTTGAGGGGCACTTAGCAAGTGCGGCCAACGCTAGGGCATGCCTGATGTTCTTCCTTCTCTCCTTCTCCTGAACCAGCACCTCTTCACCTCTCCCCTCCTATAAAAGGTAGCTTTCCAACTAGTAACCATCTCTTCTAGGGTAACTCCTTCAGGCTTCTGCAGTAACTTTTGGAGCTTCTTCCGCATGTCCTTTACAACCTGCGTGAGGAACTTGTCCCTGGGGAAGACGTGCCCTTCATAGGAATCTATGTCTACAGCAGTGTGATTCCTCAGGGCCGCTGTTAGCCACTCTAAGCCCATAGAGCTTTCCTCAGGTCCCTGATGAATTGCTCTCGCTTTGGCATCATTCTTTAATGGTCTTTGGCCTTCCTGATATTGGTCCACTTGTGATACACACCAGAAAATGTGCCCATGCCCCCTTGTCTTTCTTTGGTGTGATTATGATCCCAAGCAGGGTCAGTGAAAGGCACAGCCATTTGCCCTACTTGTCATTTTTTGCATGCAAATCCTCTGCAAACTTCCTAGCACCTTTGTGCACTGGTTCTTTCTCAAAATCCATCAAATCATAGGATGTGGTGAGGTGTTGGAAGTTGTCTATGTACTATTCAGATTTGTTAGAGTAACTGCCCAGGTCAACATAAAGGAACTCTGCCCACATTCCCATTCTTCCACAGAAATGTTCTAGGTGACTCGGGGTTGGAAGGGCAAGGGTGTCATTCTTTGGCCAGGATTCTCTTTCCATCAAAACATACCGTGGCCAGACAGAATTGCAAAAAGAAATCAGGTTCTGTTTCTCCAACCTCTCTGGGTAAAGTGTATCTCAATTGGATAGAATACATTATGGCACCAAACCCTTGAGGGCAGCATTAGCCATCTCAAAAACAAAACAACAGAGGGCATCACAGGAACTTAGAACTGGGAAGACCCTGAAAAATTAGCTGGCCCTTTACATTCTTTTTCTCTTTGGACATTTCATTTCACAGAGCATAAAATTGTCTGTTTGGGCCCGAAGGAAGAAGATGGCACTCAGTTAGATTTACCTGCCCGGGAGCTACTTCTGGCAGACCAGAAAATTGAGAGGTAAGATGAAGGAGACTGGGAAGCAGAGTCCCAACATTAGAATTAGGGTACTAGGGTCTGTCCCGACCCTTGTTTTTTTTTAAATTTTCACTCACAAAGCAAACCGAGAATTCACTGGAACGCTCTATGTTCGTCGTGCTGGGTTCATGATCTCTGGACCGAGCCTCTACTAGCACCCTAGTTCAGCAGCGAGTAGTGATTTCCCCAGGCTGACGTCCAAAAGGGATTAAAAAGAATCCCAGACTCAAAGAGAACCTCTGAGAGCTAGTCACTAGACTCCACACCAGAGCTACCCACGCCATTATCTGCCTTGGAGTCATATCCTAGGGGTTGTAGTTAGCGCGAGTGGCCATAAGTTTGGAGCAATTGAAAAAACGTGAGGGAATTTACCTGAGTCAGATCACAGTGTGGCAGAGCTTAAGCAAGCAGCTATAGCCTGTGGGATGAATTCAGTTCCAGTTGCCCGAGAAGAAAACAACCTGTCTGATAAGCTAGATCTCCTCCCCCTGGGTGTCAGTGTGACAGCCCCAAAGACAGGGCACCCCATAAGGCCAATGTAAGAAAGAGAGAAAATATTTTCTCGGTAAAATCTGTTCAACGCAGGCTCAATGTTTGACTCCAAGACAAACTTTAACATACATTTGCACAATAAGGGAGCCAGTGCTAAGGAATGTCAGAAGTTAGCTACAGAGCCAGGAGGCTTTCAACAAAAGAAAGAGCAAGCCTCAGTTTCAGAATGCCTCTCTGAGCACAAACCCAGAGCCCAAAGCCAGAGGCTTTAATTTAATGAAATTCCAGGTGCCTGTGGGGGGAGTGGGGGGGGTACAAACACTGAGCTATTGGGGCATCAGCGATTTCAGCACAATCTAGGGCAACTGTGTAAACCCAATGGGGGGAGCCGGAGAGGTCCTGCCTGTCCTCCATGTTTCTCCTGTCCTGGGGCCCTTCATGTGACTGAGGGAACTATTCTACCCCACCTCCGCTGCAGTGCTGCATACAGCACAAGGCAGCTATGCCAGTGATGCCCAGTACAAAACACCTCTGAGGGAAGTGCTTCCTGGCCCCTGCTGCGATCTTGCCTTTTTTTTTTTTTATCATTTTATTGGTGGCTCATACAACTCTTTTTTTTTTTTTAAACATTTTATTAGGGGCTCATACAACTGTTATCCCAATCCATACACACATCAATTGTGTAAAGCGTATTTGTACATCATTTCTCAAAACATTTTCTCTCCATTTAAACCCCCGACATTAGGTCCTCATTTTTCCCCTCCCTCGCGATCTTGCCTTTGAGGGTAAATCTGCCTAGCGTCTGTGGGAAGCTACACCAAGCGGGGACACCAACCCGCTGCCTTGAGGCAGGGTAGGAACTCCTCCACCCCCACCGTCAGATGATCAGGCATCAGTATCTCCTTCCCTAGTATTCTTTTTCTTCTCTCTCCCTTCTGTCTTTCCCACTGCAGTTGATCTTGCAGTTGATCTCAGTGGACCCAGTTTTGTTTTGTTTCTTGTCTTTTTCCTCTTCTTTCCTGCTCTTTCCTTTCACACGCCACAGCACCAGTGGGATCCTGCACCAAAAGGGCACACCAATCTGCCACCTTGCGGCGGGGTTAAACCCTTCCGGCCCCAAGTTCAGACGATCAGGCATCAGCTAACTCTTCACTCTTTTTTTTTTTCTTTTCTCTTTCCCACCATAGTTAGTCCCAGCGAGCACATTTTGTTTTTTGCCTTTCTTGCCCTTTCATTCCATTTTCTTTCTTTCTGCTCTCTCTTAGTTTCTTTCTGCTTCCTCTTTTCCTCTTTTCTCTTTCTCTCCTCTCCCTCTCTTTCCTTCCACATGCCACTGCTAGCTTCTAGCATCTTATCCTAAGCCTAAGGCAACTCCACCCACCCAGTGGGGAGAGCTCCAGATTGCCCCCTGTGGCAGAGCTGCACATGACATGGGGCAGTGCTACATACAGCGCAACAAGGGGCTCGGCTCTCTATCTATATTTTCTTTCTTTTCTTCTTCATTCGCTTGTTCTTTTTTCCTCTTCTTCTACCTCTTCTCTCGTTGTGGCCATAGTATGAGCAGATTCAGTTTTTCATGTTTGGATATTTCCTTTTTGTTTTGCTTTTGCTTTGTGTGTGTGTCTGTTAGTTTGTTTTTTATTTTAACTCATGTCTTTGTTTTCTCCTCTCTATTTTTCTTCTCTTCCCTCTCTCTCCATTCACAAGACACTACCGGCCTCCAGGATACTCCCCTCTGCCTAGGACAATTGTTAATGGCCCACTTGAGGGATCTATCACCCCCACTTGTTGGCTTTATGAGCAGCTGGGGAAACCAAGCCCTCCCTCCAATCTACCCCATGTGGCTGGTGATATCCCCTGAAAACAGCTTGGGGAATTTCCACCAACATACCAAGACCGTACAGGTGACTGCCCACCATCTGTGCTGCCCCACGCTGCTGAAGGAACATCCCTTCCACCTCCACTGTGATCTCTCCGACTAGGGTCATTCCACCCTAGAATTGGGATCATGGTAGTGTATCCCCCACCTCTTATTGAAGAGGGTATCTGCTTCCCATTTCATATTTTTGGGCCCTTTATAATAATCAGTTGTCTCTATGCTGTTGGTTTTGTTTTTGCTTTTTGTTTTTTCCTGGGTGATCAGCTCTATTCCATCGTTCTCAATATCTGTCGTTCTACCGGAACCACACTGTTTTGACCACTGTGGCTATATAATATGTGCTAAAGTCTGGTAGGGCAACCCCGCCCACTTTGTCCTTCTTCTTGAGGAGTACTCTGCTAATTCTGGGCTTCTTACATCTCCATATGAAGTCGGTTATCAGTGTTTCCTATTCTTTGAAGAAGGATGATGATATTTGTATTGAGATAGTATTAAATTTATACAGTGCCCATGGGAGAGCTGACATCTACTATATAGTCTTCCAATCCACCAGCATAGGATATTCTTCCATTTTGTTGAGTTTACGGTCGCTTTCTTGGAATAGTATTATGTAGTTTTCCTTGTACAAATATTTTGGGTTTTGTTAGTCAAATATATCTACAGATACATCAATTTGTGCTTGGTTATTGTAAAGGGTACACCCTTTAAAATTGTGCTCTTCTGTGATCTTGTCTGATGCATATAGCAGTCCTCTACAGCTTCCAACACTCCACTTGCGAAGTTTGGGGGATTTTTGATATTTAAAATCATATCGTCTGCAAATAACTATAGTTTCAACTCTTCCTGCTCCAGATGAATAACTTTGATGTCGTTTCTTTTCCTTATGTCATTAGCCAGGACCTCAAGTAAGATGTAAATTAGAGTGGGGATGAGGGGCAACCTTGTCTCCTCCCCTTTTTCAGTGGAATTGTTTTCATCTTTTCTCCATTGATTACCACGTTAGCCGTTGGTTTTCATAAATGGCTTGTATAAGCTTGAGGAATTTTCCTTTCACCCCTATGATCTTGAGTGTTTTAAACAGGAATGGGTATTGGATGCTGTCGAATCCTTTTTTCCGCATCTATTGATATGATCATGGAGTTCTTATCGTTTTTCCTTTCAATGTGGCAAAAACACTAAAGGGCTTTTGTATGTGGAACCATCCCTGCTTCCATGGTATGAAACACACTTGGTCATGGTAGATTATTTGTTTTAGGTACTTTCGTATTCTACTGGCCAGTATTTTGTTAAGAATTTTTGCATTGATGTTCATTAGGGATGTTGGTCTGTAGTTCTCAATTATTCTGGGATCCTTGCCCACTTTAGGTACCAGAGTTATACTGGCTTCATAAAAAGAGTTTGGCAGTTTTCTATCTTTTTCCTATGTCGGTTTGTTCTTGAATGCTTAGTAGAATTCTCCTCTGAAGCCCTCTGGCCCAGGGGATTTTTTTTGGTAGTAATCCCTTCATAACCCTGTCTATTTATTCTATTGCTAGGGGTCTGTTGAGGTTCTTGGTATCCATCGGGGGTAATCCAGGGAGGGATTGTTTTTCCAAGTATTGTCCATGTCTTCCAAGTTATTGAATTTGTTAGAGTACAGGCCTTCATAATACTGTGTAATTATCCTTTTGATTTCATTAGGGTCCGTTGTAATGTCCCCTGTTTCATCCCTCACCTTTGCTATTGAAATTTGGTCCTGCCTTACTTTGGTTAGGTTTGCCAGCAGTCTCTCAATTCTATTCCGTTATTTGGAATGTGAGCACGATAGTCCTCTCACTTGGTGCTGGATGGTTGTTTGTGGACCCATGAGGAGGGGGTTTCACTGGCTGAAGTCCCAGGGAGCCGTAGTGGTGTGTCTCAATGTGCTGGGAGCACCTCGGTCAGCCTGTGGTGTTTCCCTCCACAAATGGAGAGCGGCAGATGGTGGGTGTGTGTACCCTCTTTGGTGTAGATCAGCGTGGATGTACACTGGCACAGATAGGAACTGGAAATACGGTGAACCCAGGACAGAAGGACCCCACAGGACCAGTGGAGAGAGTGGTGATAGCGGGAGTGTGGAGGAAGGGGAGGGAGAAAGGAGGAACAGATGACAAGGTCTACATATGGCCTCCTCCCTGGGGGACGGACAGTGGAGAAGTGGGTGAGGGAGACATTGGATGGGGTAAGATATGATAAAATTATATAATTTATAAATTATCAAGGGTTCAGGTGGAGGGGGAGCAGGGAGGGAGGCGGGAAATGAGCTTACACCAAGGGCTCAAGTGGAAAGCGGGTGTTGTGAGAATGATGAAGTCAACATATGTACTAATGTGCTGGACACAAATGACGTATGTAAGGATTGTGATGAGTTGTATGAGCCCCTAATAAAATAATTATTTAATAAAAAAGAGGTGGGGGATAAAATTGGATATCTACCTGCAGAAAAAAATGAAGCAAGACCCTTTCCTCACCCTGTGTGCAAGAATAACCTCAAAGGGCATCACAGACCTTGGGGTAAAACACCAAACTATGAGGGCCATTAATAAAGGAATTGGGACAAACCTGAATAATTTGACACAGGCTATTGGGAATA